CTAGGAAAGAATATAAACACTGAGTTTGAATGTCTGCAACGTTAGGAACAGAAACTGACAAATTAATCCTTTTTAGAATGAAGTTAATGAAACGGGAAGGAACTTGGTGAATGAGCAGCATAACCGAAGGGCGAGATGTTTGGATTTGTTTGACTGGCTGTTCGACTACTTGGAACCTGAAACGACAAGTTTTACAACTACAACAACGGGCAATGCGGTTACCTCAACGTACGTATAACCAGTTGTAGTTATCGGCTCCCCCACACCAAAATAACAAATTTGTAATGTCATTTAGTGACAATCGAAAGTTTTACTGAGACGTTATTGAAGTGTCGAAACTTGGGTTGTCTGTAAGAAGAGAGTAAGGTAGTGTTTTCGAAAGCAAACAGATATTTGAATTTTGATAAGGTTTAATATGCGAAACTCTACTTAGTCTATCCGCAAATAATTTTGAAAACATTCTTTCTGTTTATATTATTATCACATTAATACGTTTTTATATGACTAAAATTTCAGCGCCCAGATACATGAGATTGACCAAACTCTTTTTGGTTTATTCAACGTATAACATTTCTTCAATAATTGCAATATCTTCTTTGTTTGTTAACATTACCGTTGCAAATACAACTGGTAAGGTGTAATCGATACCGGAATACGAAAATTCTAAATTATTGATAAAATGTTACGTCAAATATCAAACTTAGGCAAAGTTACTTTCCAAATACGCAAATAATATGATGTTAATGTCTTCTTTAACAAACGTAAATCAATATTACTGCCTTATAAGATGCTTTGGCTCCATGTTAGCTTATTGGACTCGTACGCACGAAGATAGTCTACTTTTTAAATCCATATTTCCCAAAGTTTTATAGGACCATGGGTTTTTATCCCATAACAAGCTTGTGTCATGTTATATACAAAATTCCATATGATTCTGCCCATAACTGGAGTTTGTGTTATTTTGAAAACTATCAGTACTTCTACGTACCCACATCAGTCCATATTCTTGGCTTACATAAGTATCTAGGTGAAATTTGAGGTTATCACGGCGGTAAGTATGAAGGTGACTGTCTTCTGGTATGTTGCACCACGTGCGATCGCCCTGATGATGAAGGCAGTAAGTTCCTCTGGAGCGTCGTAATGTTTCTACCAAACTACACGGCGCAGGACCCCAAAAGACGGTCTTTCTGGCTACATAATTATTTTTCTTCACAGTGTTACCACAACAGCTGTTGGAAATGGTGGGGGAAGCACCATTTCATCTGTCACAACATCGCCCAGTGCTGCCACAACAACCACTACAAGCACAGAAATGCCTTAGGCTATCCTCAACGGTCCTCGCCATGGCTTGCAAACTGGAAACAGTAGCAGTTTCTACAAGTATAAAAGATTTTATTTTAGAAACGTCTCTGATGTATTTTATTAATCATTCAGATGTATAATAGCCAATGTCAGTCACGCATTACAGAACGAGTGCCCAGTTCGTGTGATGGCTGAAAATTTTTGAAACAAGTTCTGATGGTAGAGACTCTGGTAGCAAGAAATGCAAACGAAGTTATTGTGGCGCCTGTGGTGGGATGTGGCGAAGTCTGGCAAATATATTGCAGTAATAGATTGTTATTGTCATTCAACACGAGGAGGTTTAATTCCCGTCAACTTTAACGGGTCGTACGCTGTGATAATGTTAACAAATATCTGCATAGTTTAAATGTCATGCATTTGTTATAATTATAGTTATCTTTATATTTCAGTACACATTCTTGTTTAACGAAACTTGTTTTGTCTCATTATTATCTATTAATAACTTATTTATTTTTGGTATTGACTACTTACAACAGCCACGCTGGCCTTGTAATCCTGGGGTCTCGGGTTCGATTCCCGGCGGTGCCCGAATTTATAACTTGTGTTGGGCAAGGCCGTGGTCTAGGCAACACGGAGTTTTCCTCCGTGGCATCCCAACAATTACTCCATTCACACACAGAAGAAGGCAATGGCAAACCACTTCTGGATCATCTGCCAAGAACGTATATGAACAGGTCCCAGTCCGAGAAAAGGATGGAAGGATCCTGTTCATATGGACCTGTCGTCAGACAGAACACTAAAAAAATAAATAAATAAATATAAAATAAATTGACTACCTATACAGGATGATACAAAATGTTAGGGCCAAACTGAAGGGACTCAGAGAGAACAACTTTCGAATAGGAATCCACGTCCTCCCAAGTTATCCTGAGTCAGTCGAGGCCATTGAAGGTAGGGACATCTGATAACATATCGCTGAAATAATTTGGTTCGTAAGATTGCTAATGTAATCCTTGTATATTAATAAAAAACAAAATTAAGCTAGTAGGAGAATAGTAAAGTACGATTATTTCAGGATAACTTCGGAGGACGTGGATTCCTATTCGAAAGTTTTTCTCTCTGAGTCCCTCTATACGCTCCTTCAGTTTGACCCTAACATTTTGTATCACCCTGTATAAAAAACAAGTTATCACTCTCCAACTCCGATATCTCATTCGTGGTTGGAAAGACCGAGGTCTTATTGAATATTTGACGTTAGGGGATTAGCGGTCTTTACTAAAACTCACGAAATTACGATGACTCAAAACATTCAGGTTCCATGAATATCACGAAATGTTCTCGGGCATAGATTAGGGCCATCAGATCAAGTTCGAAAGTTCTGAGGTCTTAGACAAAATAGCATTTTACCATTCAAATAACATTAACAGAGAGGAAAGGTTAAAACATGTCAACACGTAACCCAGCCATCAAAATAATACAATGCAATAACCCGGTTAATACTAGACACAGGAGACTCCGAGATATTTTAATATTATTATGTCCCATGAAAAGCCTGAACATGGTAGTTCCATTTCTTACCAATACGAAGTGGCTAATCAGTATTAATACAGTTATGAAACGAAAGAACATAGTTAAGTCAGCTACAGAAATGCCATTTTCCAAATAACACCACAGACAGTCTTTGATGTGTTCATAATTATGATTTATTTCTGTTGTGAAATCTACACGAATTCATAAAAAAAACCTCTTTGCTACTTTTATTTATAAGCGAGGTCTCTGTTATGCGCTTAACATGGTACAGTATTCTAATGTTCATAGCGACTTAATTAGTTTTTAAGACTACTAAGTGAAAGGAAATATATTATGACGGATATCGCGGAAATATAATTAGGTTAAAATCGTGTCTAATGGCAGGATTGTTAATTGTAGTTATAAGATAGTGTAATTGCGTCATATTGTGAATATTATATCAATTATTTATTTTAATCCGTCTGATCACAATATAATTTTATTTAAAATTTCTTATAATTAAGATAATAAAATATCATTCATGTTCCTTATCGATTGATCGATTTACATTTACATTTCCGAAATGTAAATCGATCAATCGATAATGAACATGAATGATATTTTATTATCTTAATTATAAGAAATTTTAAATAAAATTATATTGTGATCAGACGGATTAAAATAAATAATTGATAGTTGTAGTTAGTTTCTCAAGTATTTTAGATTTGGAGACAGTTATTTTTAATTCCTCGAGGTATTTTATTAGTACGTTTAATAATTAATGGACCACTGATACATATTATTTTCTTTAAATAACTAGCAATTACTTGTCGTCAGCATTTATTTGAAAAAAGTCCTGTGAAATATTTTCTTCGTTGTCTGTTTCTCCGTTGTCATCGTTAATACCACGTTCGTCCGCAGAGCGGCAGCAGTGTTACCATCGCGCCTGCGTTCAACAACGTGAGTCTGTAGCAATTTAAAACTTGTTTCTCTTAGCCGCCAGAGTGACTTCACCTGTTTTAGCCGCCAGAAGAAACTGCAATACGTAACATAAGGCAGGCAGGTTCTGACCGCGCTGGTGTACGCGTAGACTGGCTTCTTCTGTTGGCAAGTTGTGAGTCACCAGGCACTGGCCCTCGGCCAGCAATGACAAAGACAGTTGTGGTGATCATCTTACTCGGCACAGTTGTGGGTTACAAGTATCCCCAAGAGCAATATGATTCTTTACGTGTAGCAAGATGCACTGCTGCTTGCTGGAGTGTTGAGTCCTCTTCTAGAGAAGGGGTAAGTTTGTTAATGCATGATTGAATTGTTTAATTAATTACATGTATATACTGTATTTTTGCACCTAAAACGTTATTCAACCAACGTAAACTTTACAACCGGAACCACTAACGTCTTGAGACAGGTTTGCTATTAACTCAGCCAAAAATAAACTAAATTTCAGATTTTTTTACAGTTCTGAGACCACAAAAATTCAGCCCTGGCTTATCCCACTGTCTTTAATTAATCGTGATAACGTATTAGGTTAGAAATGGAATTAAGGACGAAAAAATGTAGCCTAATTTTAGTTTGAGTGGACCCAGTGTTGTTATTATTTAAACTTAGTCATAGAAAGCGTCATTAAATACACACAGGAATGTGCAGTTGCCTTACTGTTTATATTAATTTATAGAATGAAGTTTTGTATTTGCACTTTTTACATACGTCTGTTTCCGGTAGGCAATTTGCAATTTATGGGCAACCCAATTTGTTTTGGCGTACTAATTACTAGTGACATATATCTACCAGTACCAGTTTCGTGAAGATTTTGGATTTGTTTGTAAAATATATGTTTTTTTTTTTTTGGAAAAAGTATAAAATGTGTTTCTCCAACGGATTCAAATTCTGTTACTATTTAAACCTATTTTGATTCTTAAACTTTACTTGAAGAGCGTAATTTAATTAACTTTACAGCACTAATATAATTACAGAAATTAAGAAAAAAATTGTGGAAATTTTCAGGAGATGATGCCATGTGTCGTGTTAATAAGACTTTCGTACTCTTGAGTAGTTTTGGTAGCTGTAAAATGCAAATTAAGTGGATGGCTGTGTTCGATAATACGTCCACGTTTGATACAGTCGAGTGATAGTCTGTTGCTTCGTATCTGGAAGGTCCCCTGTTCAATTCTGGTCCGTCCTTTCACGAAGTCCAACATTAGATCGCAGATGTCACGTTCAAGAAAAGCTATTAACTGGGCCAATTTCGCGCTCTGAAGGCAATATTTTCTTTAGGTATAAAGATAATGTTCTTCAGCGACGTTGCGTCATGTAATTTAGTAGTAACTGACCGACGTTTCAGAGGTACTTACTGCCTGTTGCAGCAGAGCATCGCTCTCATGATGGAGACGGTAAGTACCTACGAAACGTCGGCCAATATATACCAGACTACACGTCTCAGCATTCCAGAAGGTAGCCATTTTAAATAAGAATCTAAATTAAATATTTACATGAGATTTGACATGGGCCTGTGTGTGTGGTTCCTCACGCACTGTGTCGGCTCTCTTGATGGAATCATACAATTGAAGGTCCTTCAAACTGTGGCTGCCAGCGAAACAAGTACAAAGGATCTCATTCAGTTGCCCATAGGTTGTTGTCAAAGTAGAGAGTTCTTGAGGACTTAGGAAATTAAGCTCGCTCAATGACGGTATTGTGTTTTGCAGGTCAGAAGTTGTTAAACTAATGTCAACAGATAAACAGACTTATAAAACGTCCCCTTTAACAAATTTCCAGTCCATGAGATTCCTTTATTAACGTGATGAACATCGAAGGTTGCTTACGAAACACTTACGAGGTGCGATCGGAAAGTTTCCAGACTGTGTCAATAGAGGGCGAACCGGATGTAGTACGAGCTTCTGCCGCTAGGGGGTGCGGCCTACATTCATAGTGAATCAGTGTGCCCGCCGGCATCATCGAATTAGCATTTGTTTCTTAGTTACGGGCGTTTTGGTAGTGCATTACACCGACCCTCCTGCGATTTCGGAATGGCGTGTGCATCAAATTTTGCCAAAGACTCGCCAAAACGGCTACGGAAACCTATGAAATGCTAAAGCAAGCATTTGGGGAGTCCGCAATGGGTCGTGCACAAACTTTTGTGTGGCATTCACGTTTTAAAAATGGCCGAACCTCTGTCGATGATGACGAGCGTTCTGGACGACCATCTTCGAGCACTGTTTTCCAAAAGCAGCTTAACGTCTGATGATCTTAGGATATAGAATTTGGCTACGAGAGAAGTTGAATGCGCTGTTTTAATACCAAGAGTCAGGTTCCGAATTTTAAACACCGAAGTAAATGTGATTTTTAGCTCCACGCCAGTCCATCTGCTTAACTAAAGTGCAGTAACTTGGATACTCAGTCGCTTTGTGGATTGTTTTTACTGAAATTTATAACAACTACCGTGACAATTATACCAAACACAGAAGGTACTAGACAGAGAAGCATTTGAGAATGACTTTAACTAAGACGAAGGTAAACGTCTGTGGAGAAATGATTCGACACGGAATTCTGAACGGATTCCTGCTAGGCATGGGTAAAATGTTGAAAAATACTCTCTTTTTTGCTATTAAATTACTTGTGTTCGTGTCTTCTGTCCTCAAGTTGTTGTTCACGGTCCTGTACTGTTTCTTACTTAACTTTCGTGGTAATGGAACGAAGTTTTCGTCGGAATTTTCCATTAAAATACGAAAGAAATTCCATCTCTGCCCACATTTTCAAGGATCGCCTTTAAAACGAGGAGAAATATGGCTCTCGAAACGTCGGCAGAGTTTAACCAAGTGACGCTGCTATTGGTTCGAGAAGACATGTCTCATTCACGACACCAAAAGGCGACATATCGTGACTAAAAATCTAACTACTATGTACTTAATAATTTCAAAAAAATTAAAACTATTTGTTAATTTTAAAGTTAACTAGTCTTTTAATGACTTTGTTGTGTCTGATTTTTGTTGGAAAGCGTCTGAATATTTGGTTGTAGCATGTATTAATAAAAATAAAAGGATTTCAAATCTAAAACTTCTTGACGATGGTAAAGAGTCAATTGAATAAAAATTTTCTTCGATATTATCCATCGTCTAGTAAATATAAAACGTAAACCGACGTTTCGGAGATGGGACTCTATCTCCGTCTTCAGGTTCCTACACAGTTGGGCCCACTAGATAGAGCTAATCCCTATCTCCGGACTTTTTCCTTGGATATTATCCATCGTCTAGTAAATATAAAACACAGGTTCCCCCACCCATGGTCTTGACTAACCTTACAGTTTATGCAAGTGTCTTTTGTTGTACTCATTGACTTTATATACCACCTGTTTTAACCCTTAAAAATCTCAGTATGTACCACCTACTTTAAGAATTAGTAAATGTACGTTTTTGTATTTATAGATTTCATATAATTATCTTTGTAATTGCTTAGTTTTCATTAAACCGAATTAACCAGTTTATCTTTGCAACGGTAAAATGTATTTTCTTTGCGGTACGAACTAAATTGTTGAATATTTACAGGCTCCGGCTTCCAAGGGTTTATAAACAGTGAATGCATTTTGCCTGAGGTTTGTATTTGCATAATTTTCCCTAGATTTTATATCAGCCCAATGTGACCTGTCATGTAGTATGAAGGTTTTATAGGAATTCAGATATATTTTAATATAAACGACAACAACTATTTTAATTCGATGATGATATTTATTTCCATGTAGATGACATGAAACACGACGAAACAAGAGTAATTCTATCACCACAAATATTTTATAACTTGTGTTGGGCAAGGCCGTGGTCTAGGCAACACGGAGTTTTCCTCCGCGGCATCCCAACAATTACTCCATTCACACACAGAAGAAGGCAATGGCAAACCACTTCTGGATCATCTGCCAAGAACGTATATGAACAGGTCCCAGTCCGAGAAAAAG